AGATGTGAGTGAGCAAGAGAGAGATCAAGAGAGAGAGAGAGGCAAGAGAGGAGAGAGAGAGAAGCAAGAGAGAGGCACGAGAGAGAGAGAGCAGGAGAGAGAGAGAGCAGGAGGAGGAGAGAGAGCAAGGAGAGAGAGAGAGAGCAAGGAGGAGAGGAAGCAAGAGAGAGGGAGCAAGAGAGAGGAGAGCAAAGAGAGAGAGCAAGAGAGAGAGAGAGTGCAAGAGAGAGAGCACGAGAGGATGAGAGCAAGAGGGAGAGCAAGAGCAAGAGAGAGAGAGAAAGAGAGAGCAAGAGAGCGAGAGTGAGAGCAAGAGGGGAAGGGGGAGAGCAAGGAGAGAGAGAGAGCAAGAGAGAGAGAGGAGCATAGAGAGAGAGCAAAGAGAAGAGAGAGAGCAGAGGCCGAAGCAAGAGAGAGAGAGAGAGAGACAAGGAGAGAGAAAGAGAAGCAAAGCAGAAGAGGATGGAGAGCAAAGAGAGAGAGAGGAGAGCAAGAGAGAGGAGAGAGCAAGAGAGAGAGAGTGCCAAAAGATGGAGAGGAGAGCAGAGAGAGAGGAGGAGCAAGGGGAGAGAGAGAGAGCAAAGAAGAGAGCAAGAGAGAGAGAGAGAGAGCAAGGAGATGAGAGCAAGGAGAGAGAGAGCAAGAGAGAGAGAGAGCAAAAAGAAGAGGAGGGAGAGAGAGAGCAAGAAGAGAGAGAGCAAGAGAGAGAGAGCAAGAGAGAGAGCAGAGAGAGAGCAAAAGGAGAGGAGAGCAAGAGAGAGAGAGAGCAGACAGAGACGAAGAGAGCAAGAGAGAGAGAGAGAGAGAGGAGAGCAAGAGAGAGAGGCAAAGAGAGAGAAGAGAGAGAGGGAAAGAGGAGCGAGAGGGCGAAGAGAGAGAGAGCCAAGAGTGTGAGAGGAGAGAGAAGAGGAAGAGACGGAGTGAGGACGTGTGTGAGAGGAGACGGAGAGAGGAGGAGGAGAGAGGACGGAGAGAGAGAGAGAGGAGGAGAGAGAGAGGAGAGGCGAGGGAGGGAGGGTGGGAAGAGAAAGGGAAGGAAAAATAGGGGGGGAGAGGATGGGGGAAAGGAGGGGGGAGATGGAAAGAGCGAGGGGGAGAGAAGGCTCTAGGGGGGGGGAGAGTGCGGGGAGGATGGGGAGGGAGGAAAAAGGAGAGGGGAGAGATAGAGAGATAATGGGGAGGGAGACAGATGTTAGAGGCGGCGGGAGAGATGTTAGAGGGGGGGAGTGGTGTTAGAGGTAATGAGATGTTTAGAGGGGGAAAGATGGGAGAGGGAAATAGAGAGCGAGGAAGATAGGTAGAGAGCAGATTCTATAGGTAATGAACGTGAGGAGGGTAGACGGATAGTCCACTTAGCGTAGAAAGAGGTGGGGTGGGGAGGAGGATGTGTGTGTGTGTATGTTGTTGTGGGATGGTTGTGTGTGTGTGGTGTGTGTGTGTGTATATGTGTTGTGTGTGTGTGTATGTGTGTTGTGTGTGTGTGTTTCGTATGTGTGTTATATGTGTGTGTGTGTGTGTGTGTGTGTGTGTGTGTGTGTATGTTGTGTGTGTGCTGTTGGGGTGTATGTGTGTTGTGTGTGTGTGTGTGTGTGTGTGTGTGTGTATGTGTGTGTCCGTGTGTGTATGTGTGTGTGTGTGTGTGTGTGTTGTGTGTGTGTTGTGTGTGTGTGTGTGTGTGTGTGTTGGTGTGTATGTGTTGTTGTGGTGTATGTGTGTGTGTGTGTATGTGTGAGTGTCGCTGTGGTGTGTATGTGCTTGTGTGTGTGTGTGTGTGTGTGTGTGTATGTGTGTATGTGTGATGTGTGTGTGTGTGTTGTGTGGTGTGTGCTGTGATGTGTGTGTGTGTGTGTGTGTGTATGTGTCGTGGTGTGGGGTGTGCTGTGTGTTGTAATGTGTGTGTTGTGTGTGTGTGTGTGTGAGTGTGTGTATGTGTGTGTGTGTGTTTGTGTGTGTGTGTGTGTTGTGTGTTGTTTCGTGTGTGTGTGATGTGTGTGTGTGTGTTTGTTGTGTGGTGTGTAGTGTGTGAATAATAGACAATCTTACAATTTCCCCAGTGTACTAGGAATAAATTATCTCAAACAACAGTGAGCGGGTTTAAAGGTGAGCCAGCTGTCCATGATCCAACATTCTAGCGTACACAAAGGACGATAGTTGAAGCCGCGAGGCATCGTTAGGAAGGATGTTTGGAGCCACGACTTACCGTGGGCGACCAATGCCTCTTCTTCGCCACCTTCGCCGAGCTTAGCTTCCAATATGCTCGTCAAATGTTGTCCACTCACTGAACGGAGGAACTGGCAGACTGTCCTCACAGCCACACGCTTTTGAAGAACATTATTGACTACATTAATGACAATGGTAAGTATTGATCTCCACTTTCACTTATAGTCCTAACTTATTCTGTGGTATATGAAATTATAACCCATAGTGGTTTACCGCTCTTGTTTTTAATATAAAAATCTATAATAACAATAACAGGTCCTTCGTGCCCCTTTGAAAGTCTATATTTAATAGTCTTAGCCAACCAGGGAGCACTACCTCTGCAGATACCATATGTGATCCTGAAAGTCTGTTTATAAAGTCACTCATCTCTAGCTCATAATGAACACAAAAAGTGTGTACCACCTCAGATCTGACTGGAAGAAAAGTATTGGAAATTGACGGGTGTGACCAAAGCCCGCTCTCGAGGGAGACTGGCCGCACTTCCTCGGGTAGTCTGTACCTATGGGTACACATTAAATGGATTGCGCAAACCTTGTATTTCAAGAAGCCTAATAACGGATATGTATTGAAAACGGCTTGGAGATGTATGATGCCTGCTTATTTAATGAACGATGTAAGATTGCCACTAACCTCCTGATGCCGATATGTGAACAAGCATGGGAGATGACACAGGTCAGTTGTTTGGTTTGAATTAAGTGTTAACTGTATGTGAAAAACATATAATGCATGAGTTTTATAAGCTTCATGTCCAAACTTCTGTTTATATGTATAAATGCCACAACATGACAGCAGAGTAGCGCAATGCCAGAGGTGACAGGATGTCCCTTAACCTTTACAAGTGTGGGCGGCCCTCTGTCTCTCCTTCATGACGTGGGCGGAAGAGTCGTCGGGAGGTGTCCACGTCAGGGCTTGTCATGGCTTCTCAGGGGAGCTGGGGCTGCTGTTTACTGAATTGAAACAACTGAGAGCTATGTACCTCTTACCTGACCAGGAAGGTAAGACTAGTGTATATACCTGGAAAAGAACTTCTAAGGTGTTGCAAGGATCGCTGATTTCTGTGTTGCAGAATCAGTGTCAATGTGTTGCAGAGATCGCTAATCATTTGTTGTGTGTTGCAGGGAGCATTGATCACTTGCTGTGTGTTGTAGGGATCACAGTTCACTTGCTGTGTGTTGCAGAGATTTACTGTTCACTTGTTGTGTGTTGCAGAGATCCCTGATCACTTTCTGTATGTTGCAGGGATTACTGTTCACTTGCTGTGTGTTGCAGGGATCACTGTGTTACAGGAATCACTGTGTTACAGGGATCACTGTGTTACAATGATCATTGTTTTACAGGGATCACTGTGTTACAGGGATCACTGTGTTACAGGGATAGCTGATCATTTGCTGTGTGTTGCAGGGGTCACTGTATTACAGGGATCACAGATCACTTGCTGTGTGTTATAGGGATCACTGTGTTACAGGGATCACTGTGTTACAGGGATCACTGATCATTTGCTGTGTGTTGCAGGGGTCACTGTGTTGCAGGGATCACAGATCACTTGTTGTGTGTAATGTTAATACGACCTATACTCGAATACCCTTGTGTCCCAATGTCATTAACTGCAAAGACCAATATGCTACGGTTACAAAGGGTCCAGAATAGAGCTCTTCGCTTCATTACCGATACCAGGAGGAGAGACAGAGTTAAAATGGCAGATTTACACATACAACAAGATATTACTGCCATAAATGTACGCCTCGACACCATAAAAAAGAAACAACTCTATACAATGCAAGAACTATACATGCCAGATAGAGAACATCCTATACAAGTGGTAAATACAACGGGTTATATCATCAATACTCCTCCTCACAGGACTCAAAGAATGACTCTCCACAGAGGGTCCGTCGTTTTATACATAAAGCGGGATTACCATCGACCCATGATATTGAGCAACCTCCCTGATGAAGAAGATTGGGTAACACCAGAACCCTTCTATGTATACTGAGAAAATCATCTCCCCAATTAGGAGACATCTTATATAACAATCTAATGTAAAAATTATGCTATTTACTATGGCTGGACACCACCCGTAAGAAGCCATTGTCACGGAATTCTATAAACTGGCCAGAAAATTATTGCCTTCATTGTCGCATAAATATCCGTTGTGCAATCGCGAAAAAAAAGCAATTGCAACTAGTATAATTACTACCATTCAGAGTCATGTACTGATATATCTGTTATATCTATGTGACTCTGATGGGTTAGTATTATACCTCTTCAAGAATATCTTACATTCACATACACTTTTTATATTACACCAAAGTGGTTGGGCCACTTACCTTTTATATCCTACCTCTCTCACCCCCTCCCACCCTTTTCCAATATTTCCATCCTTCTTCCTTACCCATCTTACCAAAGCTCTGGTCATAAGAATCAAGAATCAAGAATGTTGTGTGTTGCGCGGGTCACTGTTCACTTGCTGTGTGTTGCAGAGATCACAGATCACTTGCTGTGTGTTGCAGGGATCACAGATCACTTGCTGTGTGTTGTAGGGATCACAGATCACTTGCTGTGTGTTGCAGGGATCACAGATCACTTGCTGTGTGTTGCAGGGACCACTGATCACTTGCTGTGTGTTGCAGGAATCACTGATCACTTGCTGTGTGTTGCAGGGATCACAGATCACTTGTTGTGTATTGTAGGGATCACAGATCACTTGCTGTGTGTTGCAGGGACCACTGATCACTTGCTGTGTGTTGCAGGAATCACTGATCACTTGGTGTGTGTTGCAGGGATCGCTGGTCATTCCTTCTGGCTGGGAGGCTCCGACGCGGCCCAGGAGGGCGTCTGGTTGTGGACCGAGGGTCAACGCGTCCCTATGGGTACGTCACTTCATGTCATAGTTAATTCTTGTTAAAATATTAAATAAAATTTACCACAAACTTTCTCTGGAAAATAGATGGTTTTAATAAGTTTAAAAAAAAAATTGTTATTAAGAAAAAATTTC